TTGTTTCCAAATCCTTACACACACTTGAACCTAAAATAATCATTCATAAAATTTTAAACGGTTGAAGCGAAGTACAAGGGTGTTCACAGTGGCCTGTTTACATGAATCTCGCGTCATAAAATAATTCTGAGCCAAGGTGAAATTACATGTCTGTGTGCGGATAAAAACTAGATTAGAGCACCATCTGCTGTTAAAATCTAAGCTCAGAATCGATTCCAGAGAGAATCGCGATGCATTCGGAAGATCTCAGAATCGATCCACGAATCGATTCTGCATCAATTTATCGTCACAGCCCTAGAATGCACTGCAGCTTGTTTACAATCAGAGGAATGCACATGCATGGTTCTGTTGTGAACGTGCATCGAAATTTGACACAGAGGAGAAGAAATTGTTGAATAAAGTCATTATTTTTGTTTTCTTTGCACACAAGAAGTATTCTCGTAGCTTCATTAAATTAAGGTTGAACCATGGATGTCATATGGACTATTTTAAAAATGTCCTTACTACCTTTTTGGGCCTTGAATGTGTCAGTTGCATTGCTGTCCATGTAGGGTCAGAAAACTCTCGGATTTCATCAAAAATATCTTAATTTGTGTTCTGAAGATGAACAAAGGTCTTACTGGTTTGGAACGACATAAGGGTGAGTAATTAATGACAGAATTTTCATTTTTGGCTGAACTATCCCTTTAACAAACCCCTGGCTTAGGGTTCACTTACAGGAACATCCCCCTAAATGGTACAGTGGTGGGTCCCATGGAATCCTTTCTGAGAGCAAACCAGCAACCCTGTGGTTATCAGTCTTATCTTTAATCACTATGCCACACCAACATTTATACATATACATGGGAATACATGGGAAACCTTTGAAGTTAAGGAAGACTCACTTCCTGCCTCTATGTTGCAGTAAATGGACATCAGCTTCATGGAGCCTCTGGACATGTGCTGGAGCATCGAGATGTGTTCCTGAGGAAGACCAGCCTGAGCAACCAGGTACAGTCCCATTCTGAGGTATCACCTGCTTATACATATATATATATGTGTGTGTGTGTGTGTGTGTGTGTGTGTGTGTGTAACGGGTCCCACTCGCCTGCTCTTTTCTGTGGAAAATCTGTGGAATGATTCCCAATATGAAGTGCAAATAACTTGCAAATACCAAATAATTTGGTCTTCCATTGCTACTTGGATTCGGACATTAATATATGAGTCAGTAGATCTGGTGCCATCTGCGCCAATCTGGGGACAGTAACAGTTAAAGGAACTGGCGAAGCAGGGCCAAGTAAAACCCTCCCTATCCCACGTGATCGACTAACAGCCAGACAAGGGCAGCTCACGTCATCAGAAAATGGGAGCGGCAAGGAGTAGGCCATATGGGCGGCCCAGTTCTGGATCCTCGTACGCGGTTAGAGTTTGATCTCAGGCCAGGATTGGAAAGGTGTTGGGTTTAAGCGGAGCTGGGAAGGGTTAGACCGAGAAGACGAGGGACACTGGGAAAGTCTGGGGTGCAGAACTGTTAGCAAACGGGACCGGGCGAGCAGCGAGGAACGGAACCACAGGTTGAGGGCCTGCGCCGACATGTTCTGCAGGACCGTAAGACAGAAAGTCAGGTTTTGCATGTTCGTTAGCTCCTAGTGCTGTGCATGCTGGTTCTTTGGCCATGTTTTTTTATTGGTAAGATGGAGTGTGTGTAAATAGGTGTACAGATGCTCAGCACATAAGGCAAACACACGCGCTATGCTAGTACAGTTAAGCACAGTGGGAAGGCAGTGTAGTTAGATGCATGCAGGGAGATGTTTGCTTATACACGCTAAGCACACAGTCTCTAACACCTGCTCACACAAGGATGGTGATGCTGCGTCTGCAGCTTTAAATAAAGCATGTACACACACTCACGCTCTCCAGCCTTGGACACACATGCACCTCTCTCGAAGCTCTAGTACTGATGCAAAATGAATACAGATACCTTGAAGCATCAGCCAGTCTGAAAGATAAGCTCATACACGCGCACACGCGTGTTGAGAAATGGCTTTGTTTTCGCAGGTCATGTGGTTTGTCTCTGCTGACAGTGTGCTTGTTGTTTGCAGCTTACCTCCAATGATAATTAGCCCCATTTCACCCCTCCTCCCTCTCTCTCCTCCTCTCTCCTCCCCTCCTCTCTGCTCAAACACAAACGCTGTAGAGAAGGAAGGGGGCGTGGTGCCGTTTGAGTAAATCATTTGCCTCCTATCATTTTAACACTGTTCTCTCCTATTTTTAACGCTCTTTTGTTTATTTTTAGTTATTCATATTGTTATTTAAATAAGCAGTGTTTGATAAGTCACACATTACTATTAATGTTGCTCTAGATATCGAACTTTGGCTCATTGCTCATCTGTGCATGATACCTCAATCATCATTATGATTATTGAGGAGATTTGTGTTATTACTTTTCTGAGACATCAGACTTACAATCTTTACACCAGCAGAACAATTAAGCGGTTAAAAATCCCACAGACTTGAAGGAGGGAATCGAGTCTTGATAACTCAAGACCAGAATATCATAGAGACTGGGGGTGGGCTCTTTTGACTTGGACCAGTAAGCAACTGCCTAGCAACCACTCAGAACACCCTAGCAACCACATAACAGCATGCTAAGAGCTGTTTTCTCTGCTGGTCTCTACAATCTTTCTTTGTTGTCTTCCTGTTTTCTTGAGTGAATTCTACAAAGAAATGTCTAACCAGTATTTACTCCAAAATCAAGAGAGAAAAAAAGTGAAATTATATTTGTTTTTATATTTTATAAGAACATTTATAAGGGGGGGTTATTTTATTGGTTTGTTTTTCATTGGGACTTTTAATGGTAATTACGCACATTTACCCACACATTCTCATTACTTTTCTGTAAGGGGATAAACATTTTTTTACAAAAATCTCATCACAGTAACAATATCACCCTGACACAATGCAATGTTTGGCATTTTTATTTTATTTTATTTATTTAAAAATTACATTTATTTCATTATAATTTTTTTTATTTAAAATAACACACTACCATGACAATTAGATACATTTCCCCCAAAATTCTGATTACAGTTCTTTGGGGAAAGAATCAAATTTTTACTAAATAATTACTAATTACTAGTAATTAAACAATAATTACTATAATACAGTAATGAAAATCATCCTAATTCCACACAATATTTTATTTTATTAGCATAACTCAAAATACATGCACTACATGAACTTTGTAATTTGATCCTCCTATTTTTAAATTTTTGGTTAAATTTAAATAAATCAAAAATTCATATTTTTCAAATTATAGTAACATCATTTTTTTTTACATTACAGTAAAGAGTAGGGGCCAGATTTACTAAACAGGGTAAATTAGCATTAGAGCACAATTCCATAAAAGCGCAGATGGGAGGGGAAAATTCTGCGTGTGATTTACTGACAATGTACACATTAAAAATCACAGATGCAGTGTCAGACTCTGTTTCAGTCCTGTGTTCCGTGTTTTGTGTTTTCCTCCCCCACGTGCTTTCCATGACCCAGTTTTCCCTCATATTCAATTATGTTTATTGATCTCAGGTGTTTCTCGTCAAGTCCTGTGTATTTAAGTGGTTCCTGTTCTGAGGTTCATTGTTCTAGCCCGTAAGGATCTCCCCTTCATTGAGTATGCCAGGGAGTTCTACGGGCTCGCCACGGCGACGGCTTTAGATGACGCCACCATCAACTCCTTGTTCCGGCACGGAGCCAATTACCATCGCCCCGTGGACCTCCCAGACACCACGGGACTACGCTGGAGGAAAGGGATCCTCCGGTGTCTGGAAAGTGTCCTGCCCTGAGCCAGAACCAGCCCGCTGGCCGTTCCTCAGTCAAGCCCGCTGGCTACAGCTCTCTCCAGCTCTCTCCCAGTCCCCGAGTTTAGCCCAGAGAGGGCTCCAGTCCCCGAGTTTAGCCCAGAGAGGGTTCCAGTCCCAGAGTTTAGCCCAGAGAGGGTTCCAGTCCCCAAGTTTAGCCCAGAGAGGGTTCCAGTCCCCAAGTTTAGCCCAGAGAACTGTCTGATCCGCCATTGCCTCCTGAACTGTCTGATCCACCATGGCACCCCAAGCTCACTGCTCCGCCAAAGCCTCCTAGTCTGCCTGCTCCGCCATGGCTTCCTAGTCTGCCTGTTCCGCCATGGTGCCCTGAACTAGTTGATCCACCATGGGTCCCGGAACGGGTACCGCTCTGTAGGCCTGCCGTCCTGTGTCTGTCCTGAGGGGCCTCCAGAGCGCCCACCCCCCTCACCGTTGGATGTTGTGGGGCACGTGGTCGCTCCTTCCGGGAGGGGGGAGTAATGTCAGACTCTGTTTCAGTCCTGTATTCCGTAATTTACCAAGAGGAGCGCACATTACCGCCTGCTTTTTTTGGGAGTTAAATAATGGCGCGTATACCAATAATTTGACGAGCGCAAACATTAGTAAATCACGTTGCGTGTTTCATTTTAATACTCTCTTCGCATAAATTTTGCATCTGAAAGGGAAACTCGTACAAATGCATATTCAATAAGCTCAGGCTCAAAAATAACTGTGTCCTTTTCAGTGCTAATTCTTTACTGCACATCTTTAGTAAATCCTGACAGTACTATTTTAACGCCAAATGACGGTTTGTGCTGGCGCAAGCTATTAGTAAATCTGACCCTAGTTTTTTGGCATTACAGTGAAAAGTGTGCTGTTAAAAATAAATTACTACAAAAATAAAATGTCAGTGGTCCTAAAAACAGACTTTGCTCTTTAAGCAAATTATAATTTCTTTTTCTTTCTTTTTTCTTCCTTTTGATTTTGAGGTGAAATCCGTCCTGTTCATCAGAAAAGAGATTCACCCTCTATCCTGTTGACCGTGTGCCCTCTTAAATGTTGCTGAAGTCTTGGTTACCTCACCTACTCACTCTCCCCCTCACACTCCGTCACGCTTCCACGACCCCCCTCCCCCTGAGTCCCCCTCCACTGCCGCCCCCCACCACACACACGTTCCACTCTGCATTGCTCCCCACAGCAACACAGCCAGGCAGTCAGACTGCGTGTGGAAGTCGAGCGGTGTGGCAGAGCAGCGGCGCGAAAGTGCAAAAAGAGTGAGACAGCGAGAGAAAGAAAGAAAGAAAGAAAGAGAGGCACAGAGCAATGGAGATGGAGGAAAGCTTTGATGCAGAGGGCAGTTTTGATGATGCCTCCTGTCTGTCCCCTCAGAGCCCAGGGTCCACCTCCCCGGCCAGGAGGCAGAATAAGGAGAAGGAGATCAAGGAGACCAAAATCACTGTGAGTATTGCTCTCACACACAGACACCAACACAGCTGACATATAGACGTATAGAAGAGATGCTCTATATGCATCAGTCACAGCTTTAATAATAACATCGATCTGAAAGAGCCAGGATGCACGAGTTTTGCAGATCTGGCCCCTGGGATTTCAAATCAGTGGTTGGCTGTTTCCCTAAAGTGTTTCGCAGATGAGAAACACAGCTCAGTGTTTTGTGCCACTGTCTTCACAGCTTTGCCTGCGTGTGTGTGTGTGTGTGTGTGTGTGTGTGTGTGTGTGTTTGTGTTTCCCAAGTGATGTTGCTGGAAGTTTGTGTGTGCGCTTCCGAGAGTGTGAAGATGCACTATGACTAGTGGATTGCATCACCACTGTTTTGCAATACCATGTTTTAACGGATTCACCAACATGGAAGCGTTCATTCAAATAACCATTCCGAGATTTAATTGCTATGATGGAACTCTTGGGAACTGATTTGAATGGAACCAAATGGAGTGGAAAATACATCAGATTTTCTTTTCGACACTTTCCGAGAACCGCTCCGTGTTCTTGCATTAACGCACTCAGATTTGCCCACTTCCCAAGAGACCGCTTGCTATTCCAAACGCTGTTGACCAGCGTCCAACCGCACCATGGAGGAGAGTATTTTGAATGCCAACACAAGCTGTGCGGACGCTCTGTTATGTGACATGGCTGATGCTTGACAGTGGGAATCTACCGCTTGCTATTCCAAACGCTGTTGACCAGCGTCCAACCGCACCATGGAGAAGAGTATTTTGAATGCCAACACAAGCTGTGCGGACGCTCTGTTATGTGACATGGCTGATGCTTGACAGTGGGAATCTCATGCACGTACGCGGCGCTCACAGCCACGGCACTTATTTTCAAATTATGTATGCCGTGTGAGTGCGGAGATGTGGCTTTGCAGCTGTATTCGAACCCCACTTTCATCCAGCTTCACCTGGAAATGGTGCAGAAAACTGTATGATACACTGTAGGAAGCTTTCAAAAAACTACTTGTGTTGCAGTGCATTTGGAAACACTGCTATTATTCATAAAGTGGCACACAGAAGGTCAGATGCTGCATTCGCATGCTACTGCATGTCAGATTTATTCCCACCAAAACTCTCGCAGGAAGTCCTTTCCTTCTGAATAAGCCTTGAACATCCACTTTGAAAGTAGGGATGATTTTGTGGGCAGCTCTCATTCAAAAAAAAAGAAAGCACTTGGTTGGTTACTCTATGCAGTTACTACAGTATATATTTACATTGGCATTCACAGATGTTGTTTAAGGCAGGCTTGCTGTTATGTAACCTGTAGTGTGAATATGGCGAGAGATGTACAGATATTCTGGCGTCCATATAGGGCAGGTGAGGTGTCCATCAGAGGAAAGAAACAGAGACCGCCCACCAGGGAGAGGGAACTAGAGAAGACTAGAGAACTGGGGAAGACATGGCTAGTCCAGTTTCCATGGTGACAAAGGCAATAGTACTGACTAATGGGTGTTGAAATAAAAAAAGACACACACAAAGAGGGAGAAATGAACGAGAGCGATATGGGAGGAATGAAAGAAAGCTGTCATTCAGCCTGTCACTGTTTGTGCAGGCATATTTAGTATGCTGCGGATATAGCGCCAGGTATAGACCGACTGCTCTAGCATTCGTACGTGGTGTGCATTAATAAACGTGTCATTTCCTCTAACAAAGGAAGTCTGATCACTTATTAAAGCGTAAGCGATAATGTGCAGTCATTATGGCCAAATAAACCCCAGAAGAGTTTTTCTTGATAATAACTGAATGGCTGAACATTATTCCAGTTATTACACAACTACTTAGCAAATAAATAAATAAATAAATGGACAAGAGATATTGACGTGTGCTAATTATTTTTAATTATTATTAATTATTTAATTATGTGAGAATGAAAAGACCAGCACATATATGTTGAAAAGAGTTTGTTTATTGACCATTATATTAAATATTTAATTGCAGAAAGCTAGATGTCACATCTACGTTACGTCAGAACCACTTACAAACCATGAAATACTATAATTACTACATTATAATTTATATACTATACTTAATATATATAATATACTAATTTAATTAACACTGTTATTCTGTGCTATATATGCTATAATTAATATACTATAATTTTACTGTAGTACTGATATACTGTAGTATAACTGATAATATATATATACACATAGATACACACTATACAGTACAAAAATAAAATATAAAAAATATTATACATTATACGAACAATAATAATATATAAATAATAACAAACAATTAAAAAAATATAATGATATAGCAGAACCACTTACATACCATGAAATATACTATAAATTATATACTTTAATATAGTATACTAATATAATTGATACTATAATTCTATACTATATACACTATAATTAATATACTGTAATTTTACAGTAGTACTGATATACTGTAATATAAATTATACTATATATATACACATAGATACAAACTATATCGTACAAAAAAATAAAATATGAAAAAAAACTTTATGCATTATACAAACAATAATAATATATAAATAATTATAAAACAGTTTTAAAATATTGTGATATAACATCACCAATTACATCCCATGATATGTCTATGGCAATCAAACTGCATTATGGTATATAAACAATATTTTACTGTACTGAGATACTATAGTATATCTGATACTACCACAGAATCATGGCACTGTTTTGTATCTTGCATAAATGCACCATTTAGCTCAAATCTGGCTATAAATATCAATATTGCAAAGCGCATTACTAAAAGTGTAATGCATATATGGATTTCTGTATATATTACAAGGTATTTTTAGCTCTCTCTGGAAAACGCACAAGTGATTCTCCATGACAACCACTGAATTGGAGACACGCTGAATCAATAGCGTGAGGTTGTTGGGGGTTTGTAAGGCTGGACTAGAAGCTTTTACCTTTTGCCTCACCTTGAGCATCTTTTGAGTATCACTAATGTGGAACCAAAAGCATGTCAGTTTGGCTGACTGATTCACGCTCGATCTCCGTCCTGATGCACTTTACTGCGCTTCAAATAATAGCTAGCTGTCAACAGCTGCTCGTAGTGCCAGCGCTTGTAAACAACTGAATATCGTGAACTAGAGATATATGGAGGCCCCATTTTAGAAATGTTTGTTTGCAAAAATGTTTTGCACTTAGAAATGATGTCATCCGTTATTGGTATTGCACAAATATTGTTTTGTAATGGGGGGAAATGCCCTTACAGGAAAAGCAATTTGTCGCTTAGCAACAGAGGCCAGGCACCCTACAGTCTGAGTAGCGGTTGCGACTGCTGTATGGATGAATGTATGTGTGTATGCTGGAGAGAAACCTGCTGACTGGATTGGTGTTTTGTAGATTTATTTGTTTGCTTGCCTGGTGATTTTGTGTCCCTCATGCATGCTGCATGCTATCATTAGGTCTGTGATATTTGCGGCTGTTCAGCAGAAATGGTTGGTTTTCCAGCAGCCGTGTTCATTACGGCATTAAAAGCGAGTGGGGCAGCAGGTTCATGGGCCCGTGCCAGACATACGCTGGGCATAGGCGTTCTGCTTACCCAAACAAATACTGCATCCGTTTTTTACCTTTCACTATACAAGCACTCACACGCACACACACACACAGGAGCACAGTTATAAACACATTGTTTGCCAGTGTTGTAGTTTATTTCCAAACTCCTGACTTAAAGGCAATGATTACTGCTCTGTCTAGGCAGATTTCATGAATGTAAGCGCTAAATTAACTCTCAAAGCAAGAGTTCACCCAAAAATTAAGCAACAATAGTCATCATTTAATCAGTCTCATGTCGTTCCAATACTGTATGAATTTCTTTCTTCTGTGGAACATAGAAGATATTTTAAAGAATGTTTGAGTGTTTTTGATTCGTTTTTTTTTATTTAGTTTTGTTTTACTTTTTGTTCTGTTTTCTTTTGTGTTTTGTTTTCTTTTGTATTTTTTTGTTGTTTTGTTTAGCATTTTGTTTAATTTGAGATTTATTTTGGTTTTACTTTTTCTGTTGTATGTTTTTTTATTTTATTTAGTTTTTTTTTGTTTTACATTTTTTGTATATTGTTTTGCTTTACTTTTTGTTTAGTTGTATGTTTAATGTTTTATATTTTGTTTTGAGTTTAGTTTTTACTTTTGTGTTTTGTTGTATGGTTTGTTTTGTGTTTTGTTTTCTTTTGTATTTTTGTTGTTGTTTTGTTTTGCATTTTGTTTAATTTTAGATTTATTTTGTTTTTACTTTTTCTGTTGTATGTTTTTTTTATTTTATTTAGTTTTTTTTGTTTTACATTTTTGTATATTGTTTTGCTTTACTTTTTGTTTAGTTGTATGTTTAATGTTTTATATTTTGTTTTGAGTTTAGTTTTTACTTTTGTGTTTTGTTGTATGGTTTGTTTTGTGTTTTGTTTTTTGTTTTGTTTAGTTTTGTTGTATGTTTTGTTTTGTGTTTTATATTGTATTTTGTGTTTTGTTGTATGGTTTGTTTTGTGTTTTGTTTTTTGTTTTGTTTAGTTTTGTTGTATGTTTTGTTTTGTGTTTTATATTGTATTTTGTGTTTTGTTGTATGTTTTGATTTGTGTTTTATGTTTTTTTTGTTTGTTTTTTGTGATGTACAATGTTTGGATGACATGAAGCTGAGTAAATTAGAAAATTAATTTTTGGGTGAACCATGTCTTTAAACAAACCATTTATTGGCAAACTTTTGTCTGGTTCTTTTGTATGATGGCAACAGTGTTACAGTGGTCAATCTATCCTTTTCTTCTCAAGTTTGTATATTCTTTCTTGACTTTCAGGTTTTGCTGAGATGATTTGTTAATATTAAAATTTGTATCATTTAAAATGTGTCTAGTGGCCAATGAACTTCATTGCGAATCTTGTTTTATGTGTTTTATGTGCTTGTTTTTTACTTTGTTTTCTGTGATTGTTATTTAATTTTAAATAAATTTATGATACATTAAAACATCTACAGAAAAACATAATGGTGTATTCACAGCAATCTACCATGAGGGGACTAATTGCCAAAGCTAACCCGCCAAACCAAGAACCCATTCTGACTACAGTATTATTGGTTCATAATTCCTAAAGTGTTTGGTAATGTTATTTGCTGAAGAAATATAAAAACAAAAAGTGATATATATGAAATGAACCCACTGTGAGCCCCTTGAGTAGAGCTGATGTTTGATTAGTGTGAGATTTCACTCACAGCCCATGTTTGAAATAACTGCAGCCCTCAACCAAACCAGTTTACAGCAATATCAAGAGTATTAGCCCTCCCCTGCACTGATGCAAAACCATCGCGGTGTCCCAAATGGTGATTCAAGTTACAGTTTTGGTGGATATGAACTGACCTTACATCAGCACAGAGGAAGCTGGATTTTTAAGTATGTGGAGGGGGATGTATTTCAGTGTGGACAGAGGGTGTAATAAGCTCCTGATAAGGGTGGATCACCTCGCTGAGGAGTTATAAGGAGAGAAGATGGGCCTGAATCTGATGAATGGGCTCATTTTGTGGAGGATGAGAGGGAAGGATAAACAACAGGAGTGATAGATGTGGCGGCGCTGTAAAGGAAAATCTAGCGGCCACGACAATCAGGGCGATCTTCCAGGCATGAAATGAACAAAGTGACGAAGCACGAATGAGTAAATCAGCTCAAACGCCATCAGATTAGGAAGCGTCTGGGGTGAGTAGATAGGGTCTTATCACTGTGCACATGCAAGGGCCATCTATCCAGTGTCTTTATTGTAATTGTGGTTTTTGTGTGTGTCTTTGTGGTCAGCTTTGCAGAATTTGCATTGCACCGTCTTGTCCATTTGCGCAAATGATGTAGATGTAAATGATGCTGATGGAGTTGAGGAGTTAGCATTCAGATATGCTTTGCTGTGATGAGATATATATATATGTATATGTATATATATATATATATTTCTGGATTTTTTTTCTCATTTTGTCTCTCATAGTTGAGGTATACCTATGATGAAAATTACAGGCCTGTCTCATCTTTTTAAGTGGGAGAACTTGCACAATTGGTGGCTGACTAAATACTTTTTTGCCCCACTGTATATATATATATATATATTGAAATTGATGTATATGAACTTTTTTTTTTATGTAAAAATGTTTACTGTCACTTGATCAAATTAATTGCTAAAGACTGGCTAAATAATTGCCATACATTTTCTTTATATAAATCTAGATATATTAATTATTTTAAATGAAACAAAATGTTTTTGTATTAAAAATAATTTTAATTGTAATAATTTTTTGTTTGCACAACAATATTGTAAATAATTAAAAAATATATAATAATCTGCATATTTATGCAGTGATTTTTGCAAACGTAGGCTGCAACCACATATTAATACATGCATAAAACATGCATCCCTATGGTGGTCTTCTAGTGTCTGGTTACAACCCTGATACTTTATGCCTGAGGGGGATTTCTTGAAAGTTCAGCAGTGACTTAATTAAATGAAGACATATAAAAACTACTCTAAAATTGTTCTGCCTCAACTGAGTTTAAGAAAATTAATGACGTAAGCATTTTAAATAGATGTCAAAGTTAATGAGATATCTTAATCGTTAACATAACAAAAAAAAGCTTGCTTACAAGAGGTTAAAACCAATTTGTTTACAGTGGTGTATTTGAGCATGAATAAGTGTGAGTGTGTGTCTGAGGCACTGAAGGGCTATGGCAGGGAGCACATCCTGTTTGGCAGTGGCAGGGAGGCGGTACAGATGGTAAGCATTACATAATTGCAGTGCTTACAGGCTAATTGGAGACGCCATGGACCCTAGAGTGTATACTCAAACACTTTATGAGTGCACACACACTAACTGCAGTCTAAGGTACACAGTGCTGGATGTGATTGTTTGGGAATCTCACTCCTAACAACTTAAGCTTGTTTCGTAGTTCGGAGTTTTGAATGGAATAGTCTGACAGTTTACAACATACCTGCATACTGTGCAGTAGGGTACAGCCCTCGGGTAAAAGGCCCTTTCCTTTGTATTTTCTCTCAAAATACGAATGCTATGCACTGCAGAAGTGTTCCACTCCATGAGGTCCTAGCATGCAACGACAAAAAGTTGATTTTGAGGTAAATGGATGGAACGTGTAGTGATTTTTACAACGTGTCTAATTTATATACTGTAGCTAATGAGTGTCCTTAAAACTCATATCTTTTGAGACAAAGACTTTTATGAATTTCAGTTTTGTTCAAGGTGATAGATTTTCAGCAAACATCAAAAAAGTGAAAGGATTGTATATGGGCTCTTGCTTGACTGCTTTATTTGAAAATGATTTAAAATCAGAACCGTCTTTGATTATTGCAAGTGATGTTGCTCCATCAATATTTATAAAAAAATGTAATTTTGTTCTGATCAGTATACATTTCATGGTCAGAGTGGGACCTTTATCCCATTGTAGCCTTACCCTTGTGAAAACGAAGTGTGCTTAATTGTACTGAATGTAGAGTACTTCAAATCTTTTAGTATTTTAAAAATTGTACTTGCCGATAACATAATATTAATGAAATAAAAGGCCAGTGAAGTGTACTTAAAGAGATACTTTCATTTCATTCTTGTAAAAAGCGCACTTTGTAATAATGTCAAATTTAAAGTTTTACTTTAAAGTACATTTTAAATCAGTAGGTTTTCATAATCGTTTGTTGTGCTTTAAAGAAGTACACTTATTTTGATGTGTTGACTTATATACTAAAGCACATGTAATGCAACTTCATCACATAAAAATATATTTAAATACTTAGCATACAAGTTTCAATAGAAATGGCATTAAAGTTTATTTGAATTTACTATAAAAGCTTGCTGGTGGATGCCCAACCTCCATAGCACACAGGAAAAATGTCAAGAAATAAAAAAGTAAAATTAAAAGTATGCTAAAGCGTACTCGTATGTGCTTACAATTTTAAAAAGAAACGTGTAAAGTGGTTGTATGCAATAATGAGCTTTCATTCTTCACATGTATATATTCAGTATTTCTTGCGGTGTGCTCTGGTAAATGTACCAGTATAGAAAAAACAAGCATAGGCTTTTACAAATAGTTTGCCATTCTAAACATACTCCCTCTCTCTCTCTCTCTCTCTCTCTCTCTCTCTCTCTCTTCTCTCTTCCTCCATCACTCTGTCCATCCTCAGGCTGTTATAGGTCATGGTCTATATGACCAGTCTTTCTCTTTTACATCGTGACCTTTCATTCGTCTCCCCTCTGAGACTTATCCCTGTCTCACTCCTCTGAAAATGAAACCAACCTGACAAAACAGCAGACGCGCACACACGCTGTGAGCTGACCTTCCTCTGTTTTATCTCACCGCAGATCAACTGCGTCACCTTCCCTGTGCCCACGTCTGCGCCGGAGCAGCAGCTTCTCAAGCCCAGTGAATGGAGCTACTGCGACTATTTCTGGGTGAGAGACAGAGAGAGAAAGAGGACAATCATGTCTGGTGGACCGCAGTGGATGAGTATTGATCCTATACTATAAGGACTACTATTGAGCCGGTCCCATCTAATACCATTAGAAGAACAGCAAACAACTCATTGTGAACTACTTTAACAAACGTATTTTACAGCACACAGGGTCAGCACAAATGTGCTAAATGTGAGTATAATATGGTTTAGAAAAGTAAATTAAACTTGGCTTAGAAACAGCATCATGCATGGTTTAAATAGCAATGTTAAAGCGACAGTCTCATCTGATGACTAACAGACACAAGTGATGTGAAGTAAAGTGACACAGACGTCTACTAAAGAAACTGAAATCATGAAGGGTTTTCACTGTTTTATGAAAAAGGAATTTGTCCACACATTGAAATTAAAGCTTCCAAAAAATTGTATTGCAACGTTTCAACCCGAGGAAGTTTTTTTTTGTTTTTTGGC